CTCAAACTCCTTTCTTCAGATTGAGTGGGGGGTGAAAATTCCCTTCTTTGTTGGCTCCAGAAAAACAGAAGCTCAGCAGGTGTTTCTGGAACCATCAGCAGGTCCTTCGGAGCAAAAACATTTTGGTTGGCTATGAGAGCCTCCAGCCTCAAGGGAAGAGGGAGGGCAAATTTGTGTTTCAATTGCCGCTGTAACTTTAATATTTTCTTCCTTTTGTCAAAACATTTCTTGCTTCTGAAACATGCATTCAGACATGCATTGTATATTGGTCTGATATGTGTTCACCAACTTTAAATTCAATAATAGAGCTTTTAGTGTGGATAAGATCAAAGCAATCTGCTTAGCATGTGGTGCTACAGGCCTGATTCAATATTTGACTTGCTAATTTTTTCCCAGGGCACTAAAATAATATTGTTCATATTGTTCCTTGCCATCATATGCATCTGAAATGAAAATACTCTTTTTTTGCATACTGTATGTTGGAGGCATCAGCTCAGACATTAAAATGGTAGGAGGGAGATAAGTGTGTAGGAATAACACAGGTCCCCTCATAGGCTTTCTCTGCTCCCCAACTGTCAGCGCAAGTTTACAGTTGGTACTTTTATCTTGGTAGGCTACCACTTGGTATTTTTATTTTTATTTTTATTTTTTTAATTGAGACAGAGTCTTGCTCTGTTGTCCTGGCTGGAGTGCAGTGGTGTGATCTCAGCTCACTGCAACCTCTGCCTCCCGGGCTCAAGCAATTCTCCTGCCTCAGCCTCCCAAGTAGCTGGGATTACAGGTGTGCACCACCATACCCAGCTAATTTTTGTATTTCTGGTAGATGGGGTTTCACTGTGTTGGCCAGGCTGACCTCAAACTCCTGACATCAAGTGATCCACCTGCCTCGGCCTCCCAAAGTGCTGGGATTACAGGCATAAGCCACTGCGCCTGACCAGTATTAGCTGTTTTTAAAATGAGAGAGACAGAGGACTTAAATGAAACTTGCATCCAGTCCCGGATACCTTGTTTATCCTAGCCAGAGCGCGCCATTGACAGGCTCCACTAAGGCTGCTGGGCAGTGGGCAGTGGGGAATAGAAGAGGCAACAGATGCCATTCCTGTCCTGCCAAGGCTTAAGGGTTCATCAGGAGAGGCCAGATGTAGACCAGAAAGACGTTGCTCCGTGTGTCACCTTGAATGCGTATGTGTAGCCCTTCACTGTTGACAGGCTTTGAAATGAACCTGAGACACAGATGGGGAAAGGTTTTATCTTGGGAAACTGAGCCTCAGGGGATAGGTCCCAGGCTACCCAGAGAGTGAAGGAGCATAGGTCTTGAGCTTACTGGTGCCAAAGGAACTGTATAGACAGTTGTTGGAGCTTGGGGGTGGGAGGGTGAATCCCCAGATGACCCGGGCAGCAATCAGGAAGTAGAGCTTCTGCCCCAGAAAAAGAACCCATGGGGGCTGGCTTGAAGCCAAAGAAGTTTGCAGCCATTTTCCCATTTCATGTTTATCGCCTTCTCTCCCACCCAGGTGGAGGTTGACTATGTCAGGTGCACGTAAGCGGGTTTTTAGTGCAAGGGTTTGTGTTTGCCTTTGAATCTGGGGCTAGTACTTGTTCTTCAGGAGAATGAGTAAAGATGGAAGTAGACAAGAGGAAGAAGTGGGGGCAGAGTGATTAGGATCACAGGCTTTGGAGGTGTTGGTCCATGTTCCCAGCACAGCCCAACAGTTGTGAGCTCCAAGGTGGGGAGTTTAGAGGCCCTGGGAGAGGACTTTGGAGGAGAACTCTGGGCCTTGCTGAGCTCCAGTAAGACAGGGCTGGTAATGATATTGCCTCACTGGGTTGTTAGAGACTGGGTGACATACCATGAGCAAAGGGCTTAGCACAGTGTCTGCACAGGGTGCAAGCTTGATCCGTGTTAGCTCTTGCCATCATCCTTGCCATCATCCACGTGCTGTCATTGAGAGGTATTTCTCCAGCCAGTTCCCCTCCTCTGAAGAAGGATGGAATTTAAAGGGTGTTGGAAGAGAAGCCTGAATCCTGAATTGTTTTGGTTTTTGTGATACTGGTTTCTACTTCTGAGGCCCAAAGAAAGGGAAATGAGTTTAAACTGGTCTATGGACAGAATTCAAATGAGATATCCGGAAAAACTGAAAACTCGAAGACTGCCAAGCAGGAACACAGATGATTGTTAGAACGTGTATAGGAGTGTTTCATAAACAGGACTGTGCTGTGAAACCACAGACCCATCTCTTCAAACCCTCGCGATCTTTCTGGGCATTTGACAGAAAGTGGCAGATAGCTGCCCCCCCGGTACATACTGGAGCCATGAGTTTTTGATATTCGCAGATAGGAAAGGTCTTAGTGCAGATTAGTCACAGACATAGGACTGGAGTCCAGGTCTTCTGATTCAGTCTCTGTGCCTGGCACTTAGGAGACCCTGTATAAATAATTGTGGACTAAATGAAGGATTCACTGAAGGACCACATGTCTGTGAGGCACTTTATAGTTCCTAAAGCCATCTCCCATCTAATTGGGTTGGGGAGTCGCTTCCTGGGCATTTTTTTAAATGGAGGTCCTTCTCTACCATGCAGAAGGGCCAGGAGCGGGAATGAGTCATTCTACTCTGCAGGGGACCAGGATAACAGTCTTTGGAAAGTGGGGATCACAGGAACCCTTCCCTTCATTCCCCATGTAGGCCCTGCCTTAAGGAGGTCATCTCCAGAGGCGGCGGTAGGAGGATGCCCAGAAAGACCCCACATGACACCCTTTCGCACATAAAGATCCCACAAGTAGCTGACATTGCGTGGTACAAACTACATACTCTGCTAAACACTTTATGCATCATGCATCTTATTTCATTTGATTTTCACTTACTCTTCAATCATTATACGCATTTACAGATTGGCAAGGCGAGGCAGAGAGAAGTTAAGCAGTTTGCCCAAGGTCACATGGTCAGCAAATGGCAGCCCCAGAATTCAAGCCCAGAAAGCTATACTCCAGAGCTCATGTTTGTACCTATCAGGCTGTGTGCCATCTTCAGGCCAAAAGGGACTTTCAAGGCTCTCTGGCTGGGCTGCAGGCCCTCCGCCACTGACCGCCCTTTCCCAGTCAGCTCTGTTGTGGCCTATGCGGTTCCACGTTATCCTAGTAGAAGAGCGGAGGAGACAAGCCAGATTCCCAGCTAGGGAGAAGAACCACGCTTGGGTTTTACAGGTTCCAGATCTCTATGCCTCTTCCTCCACTGCCACAAGCACAGATAAGTGACAAGCATGGGCCAGGAGTTGACTGCCATCCAAGCTCAGGGCCAAACCCACAAGCTCTCCAAGCCAGAGTGAAATGCAAATGTGGCTCTTTATCAATAAACACACACAAATGCATGCACAGAGCCGCCTCGTGACCCGCTAGAGAGGGGCTCCTCCCTGGCTACTCTGTGTGCCCCAGTGCGGGTGCAGCTAATGATGCCTCCCGTAGCGTCCCCCTGATTGAAACAGCCCCTGAGCAGCAGCGACACTTGCTTGATGAGTCGCCAGAGCCCAGCCTTCAAGCGGCCTCCTGACGAGCCGGGCAGCAGCAGGAAGGGAGGTGAGAATTGACAAGAGCCACCTCCAGGCATCCGCAGAGGCCTAGTACAGCCTAGAACTTGAAATGATGTTGGGGAGCCATCACCACCCTCGCTGGGTGAGAGCGTGGGTACAGCCTGAAAGATGCTTGGGACGAGGGCATCTTGAGTAGAGCATTTCCTCATACCTGATTCAACAGGAAGGAATCGGTGCTTATAGGCGCTGGGACCGTGCTTTACGTACGCACTGTCTCCTTTTGTCTTCACAACATCCTGAGCTGGGGTCCTCATCTCATTTTACAGAGG